TTAGAACATTAGTTATAAATTTTGTTAACATATCTTATACATATATGATGTATCAGAAGTGATGAAATTACCTATATTAGATTTGATACCTAAAAAAAGCTAGTAGGAAAAAAAAGTAAAGACAAAAAAAAGAAAAAATGCAAAAATTTACTCAATACCAACAATACAAAGCCAAATATCAATAATGATACCAAAATTCATATAACAATAGCAAAAAAAAAATCTTTAGCAATTAAATATAAACAAAATACATATATACATATCAATAGAACACCTAAAGGATGCTACCTAGAAAGAAAAATAATACTGTAATATGTTAGTTAAACATGCTCACAAACTAAAGCAAAAAAAAAACTATTCACAAGTGTGAGCCAAAGCAAAAAAAAATATTGACGTCATTGTTTATATACTTAATAATTTTTCGTGTAATGTATTACTATGGACTCAGTTGGAATGGGTCGGAATTGATCTATTTTCTCTAAAATGCCCAAAGTTTTACGTATTGATAAGGCCAAGCCATGTTTAATATAATACGAGATGACTTGTAAGAGGAAGTAGGGAATTAAGAAAAAAAACAATAATATTAGATACAAATCAATATTGCAACCTTATGGGTTATTTAATATTTGTGTATTAGTTTCTATAATTTTGAAAATTTGAGAAGTGGGGTTATGTTAAACAAAAAATCAAATTGGTCTAGCCTTACTAAATCAATTAATATTTTACTAAATATTATTATCATGATCTTAATCATGGTAAATTGACAATATTACATGATTTTTGAAACTTTTTTGGGTGGCGATTTTACTCTGGTCAGAATAGACCGGAGCAAGATAGTATTATGCTAAATTACAGCAAGATTATTATTTAGGCAGTTTTTACTTAGTGTATAGACTGCTACTTTAGGCCAGACCAATTTGATTTTCTGTTTAACATAACCCCACCCCTTCAATTTTTCAAAATTATAGAAACTAATACACAAATATTAAATAATCTCCTCTATTTTTCAAAATCTATATAGTCAATACATATCAGATTAACCAATAAGGTTGCAGCATTGATTTGTATCTAATATTATTGTTTTTTTCTTAATTCATCTTGTGTTATGTTAAACAGAAAATCAACTTGGCTTGGCCTAAGTGATATGATTCTTCAAAATAAAAAGCGATCGTACAATTTCGATAAACCAAGTATAATATTCTAAAAATATATATTGATTGCTATAATCAAATTTTTATAATAATAATTGAAAATGCAATTGCACCAGAAAATCTTGTAGACATTATTTTTAATGCTCTTTCAGAAAATTATAACTCTGATTATTTATTGAGCAAAAAGTTTTTATAATTCTGAATCTGAAACGCAACAAAAAAAATTATTAAAAAAAACATAATGAATCCAAATAGTAACAAATGGCTCAATAGTATCAATAAAAACTTTGTGCCATTACATAAATTGGAATAGGGTGATAATTATTTTAAAAGGCAATAGAATATTCTAAATATTTAGAAAAACTGTAATCATAATACTTTCTGACTGTAATAAATATTACATTTACTGAATTTATTTGAAATAAATAAAATGATTAATTTATACTGAATTTATTCAAAATAAATAAAACGATTAATTTATACTGAATTTATTTGAAATAAATAAAATGATTAATTTATTGCTTATCGTTATTATTTGTTAGTCTATAAATTTTTGTATTTTGTTCAAGTTACATAAATTTTTAGTGCTTGATATATTTATCAAAATTTTTTAAATGTCGTTTTTACCTTGGTTGCTTATTCCTGACCCAAATTCAGGCCAGTTTGCTGAATTTTGATGGATCAACTAATCTACCCTTAGTGCAATTGGACATAGTAAACCAATTTTTGAACATAGATTATTTTAATATCTGTTTCTAAATAAAAATTAGCATGTTTAATATCGGTTATTATATATATACTAAATAATAGCAGATAGAATTTTTGTATTAACAAGTGTATAATTATATTTTCCAATTTTAGTATATTATTTCTATCTAAAAACTAATAAGTGCTTTACTAAATAGAAAGAAAACTGTGTATTTATTATTGTTATCGATATATTTGTCTATTCAACAACTACGATTTATATATCAGTATAATCATTATCGTTATAATATACAGAGGAGGGTGTATCGAGAAGTGAAAGCTCATGACAATAATCAAAATCACTCTTATATTCCTCTGAGTATTGCTCAACATTGTTTTATATTATTTTAAAGATTAAAAAAAAAAAGACCAATTAATATATAGAAAAGAAAAAAATTTTAACTCAATAACAAGATGTATTTAATTTACATCTTTGGCATTACTATCTCTTGACTCATTATTAGTTTGTTTAGATCAGGTATCTATTCAGAAATAGATTTCTCTACCAGTAAGAGAAGTGGTTGTGATGGTAGGATCAAACATCATATCGATTACTGCAATAGCAAATTCTTGATTAAGCTTTGAATGACAACTTTCAAATACTTCTGTTATAATATAGCATATATATATATTACAGAAGTTAGTATCTTCTGATAGATCAACAGGCTCCCAGAGTTTAGATTTTGCTTCTATCATTGCTGAGCTAGTTTTCTATGTTAAGACTTCTTCTTTAGAAGCCTTCTGACCAGGAACATTTTGATAGCTATTTT